ATGGCAACCTTTCAGAACACATTCATACCACCTGTGAGACGCAAGCTCCCCGCGAGGGGCAAGCTTCTGCAAAGTCAAGCTCGTCCTCATCGAGTTCCTCATCGAGCTCCGATTGAGCTCGTTTGTTCGGAGCTAGAAGTGGATTTTGCAAGCTATTCCCGCTGTAGCTGTAGCTGTTGGCTCTGTAGTTTGGCAGAAACGAGCGTGCCAAGTGCAGGCGCAGCATGTTTTTTGTGGGTAAGCGGTGACGCACAACGCGCGAAAAAAAGCTCGACCTGGCTGTGGCACTGCTGTGAACGGTCAGTTGCGCAAGGCAGCATGCGCCGCTGTTTCCACGGTTTCGCTTCATCTTCCTTATGACTTACTGCGTGATTGGTTGCCGCTGTTTAGTTCGTAACTAGTTTGAGAATTAGTTGTAGCTAGTCAGTAACTATTTTGAGACTGAGTTGTAACTAGTTAGTAACTAGTTCAAGAAGAAGCTGCAACTAGTTTCTCAACTAATCGAGTGAAAGGTTGAAACTAGATCCAGAAAATAGAAGGCTAGAACCTTGGTTGACCTATTTGCTATTTCTGGAATTTCAGGTGTTCAATTATGACGTAGAATCCGTTGCGCCTATTTTTTGCGTTTGAGAAGTTTGGATGTTTCTTTGGACCGCACAAACATAACGTGACGGAGCTTTTTCTGTTCAAGCGAGGGTAGAAAGTGCAAAACGTTGGCATCTCAGTCTCAGACTCACTGCAAGTTTTTGGAAGCATTTTCACTGCAGTCGGCAAGTGACACACAGTTCAGCAAACTTAAATCATGCTCAAATGAGGAGCTGTTGCCACGGTTTCGCTCCATTTTCCTTATGACTTACTGCGTGATTGGCTGCCACTGTTTCCATTCATTTGCATTAGGACTTCCTGCGCGTTTGACATTGCCGTCGATCTGCAATGCAACGGATTTGTCACACCCTCAGTGCTGCGTGCACGGATTCAAGCACCCTCGACTTTGTGTTTTTGTTGTCATGAAGGTATTCGATTCTATATTCGTGTGCCAGCCCTGTTTCGGCTCCTACTAGTTTTCCAACTTTGCAGCAATGACGGAGCATCCGTTCGCGGTTTTTTGCGCTGTTCCTTCGCTGTGGCTTTTGCTCGAGGCGTGGCTGCCGACACCTTCGTGTCTGCTGTTCCTGCCTGTTGCTCGCCTGGGTCGGACGATGAGTGCTATTCGCACTATCAAGGCGGAACAAAGCCGCAGGTTCAACTGTGTGGTTGATTCCGCGCAGGGTGACCAGGGTGCATGCAGGTTGATGTTGGCCAAGAAGGATTACTTGTCGAACAAGCGGGGAGGGAACCTTTTTGGAAGCGTGGGGATTGTGGAACGCTCCGACCCCTGAGTGGCTATGCTTGAAAAGTTTGGTGGAAGATGCGAACTTGGTCTTTGCAGGCGTGCGTTGCTATAAGCCCCCTTCTCCAGCGCTTTCCGCTCTTGTGATCGAGATGGTCTACTACAACCTGCGGTTTGCGTTGATCTTTGACGAAGAGCGCTTGCAGTGACGATGTGGTGGCGACCACGAAGCACCATGGTATTTTTAATCTTGCGTCGCAAAAGAAAGCGGTCGCTCTGCGCGCTGCCTCACAAAAGATGCATGTGATCGAACTTGTTTCGGAGCTTCTTGTTTCGGCGATTCCTCGAGACCTCTTTGCGGCTACTCCCCGCCCCTCGTCAGGATCTTACTCGCTCATGCTATTGCCGTATTGTGCACTCAAATTTCATAGCCAACTGCAACCGCAATTTCAGTTTTCCCAGTTGTTCCTGGCCAGGATCTTCCGTTGTGTCGAGCCCTGACGGTCGCTTCACTGGACTCACGGTTCATGGACAATTTATCTAGGGTCGAATTTACATTTGACTTTTAACCCTAGCGTTTCACTCGTTAGTTTTTCTTCTTGGTGCAGCCTTGCCCTTAGATTTTGTCCGGGACATTGCGCGCCAATTTCTCGAGTCAGCACCTCAGAGTGACGCGGCCCTGGCCTTTGTTTCCAGTCATTTGCATTATGACGTACTGAGTGATTGGCATTAAATTGCTCCACTGATGTTTCGACGATTCATTGTTACTCAAGCAATTGCATCTCCACGACCTGCCCAGCGCCTACACCTGCGCCATGCCGCGGCGCGGAAAGAAAAACCGAGCGTGTGGCGAAAGCTCGTCCCATTCCAGGTCAGATCGTAGTCTGGCCAACTGACGGACCTCGCCTTCATGACCGAATCTTGCAGATGAAAGACCCTTGGCTCGACGAAATCCTATCTCAAGGCAAAACGGTCGAGGTTCGTGGGCAGCCAACGAAGCTTTGTGGCTTGTGGCTTGGCAGACATATGGGTTCGCCTATGTGAGCAACGTCGAAAAGATCCATTGCATGGACGCGTTCAACATGTTGAATCACCACATCACTTGTTCCAAGTTGCCCTATAGCAAGACATATGCGTAGCGTTTGGAGCAAGTACAGCCCGTTGAATGCTTTCAATATGCAATTAAGCAAGGCCCAGTAGCCTGGGCCAAATACGCTCCCGTTTGAGACTCTTCTATTCGCCGTGAGGTGTAGTACAGTGGCGCTCCGTTCATACCCAGCAAAGATGAACGCTGGTTTTTTTGAATGCCGTGCAACACAGTGGCAAAAGAGTCCAGCAGAATGCGAATTGAAGGCTCTCAAGACTGTAGATTTTGTTGCAGGTTCGAGTCAAAAAATGCCGCGTGCTGCCTTACAAAGGTTCGGTTCGACGACCGCGCGGCCGTGTGAGTGTAGCCGCATGTCTTTCGAACGGGTTTTAACTTTGAAAGCCAAACATTTCAGCCTCGAGGCCATTTCTTGCTCTGTTTTGCTCCGAACCCGGGACCCCCACTTCAGATAGCAATGGCACTGACGCAACTTCCTTTGTCCGTGGTTCTTTTTCATCTATTAGACTGGTTGCCTTTGGGCGCTGCGGCGCATTTTTGCGATGTGCCAATTCTTTTTTCCCTGGTTTGGCCGATGACGCTCCAAGGCTCGGTCCTGTAATTTGTATAACCTGAGGAGATCTAACGAAGCATTACATGCATTACATGCATTACATCCATTACATCCATTACATACAGTACATACATTACATACATTACATACATTACATACATACATACATACATGCATGCATGCATGCATACATACATACATACACACATACACACATACACACATACACACATACACACATACACACATACACACATACACACACACATACACACATACTCACATACACGCATACACGCATACACACATACACACATACACACATACACACATACACACACACATACACACATACTCACATACACGCATACACGCATACACACATACACACATACACACATACACACATACACACATACACACATACACACATACATACATACATACATACATACACACATACACACATACATACATACATACATGCATACATACATACAAAGAATGGAATGATTAATCAGTGGATTTAGGGATATTTGAAGTATGGTGCAGTCGTATGCATTTCGGGACCAGCCCATCCGGCCTGCTTTGAGCATCTCCCAGCTATGTTGGGAGCATGGCACTCTGATTTGCCGGTGGTGCTTCACTCTTCAGCATTCGAAGATATAGAGATTTGATGCCATCTGAGGATCTACTTCCAATTAGATGGAAAATCGATGTGCTGGGAGCGAGAAACCTCCGGTTGCCGTTGCTTGCTCGCAATCACCACTGCCAGTGGCTTGTGATGAGCTGTAGAAGCACTGATTGCAGATGTTTTGGGGGAAAACATTTAAATCATTTGCTGTCAGCTATCATGTTAGATTCCTTTACATTCCTTTCCATTCCTTTACATTCCTTTACATAGTTGAATCATGTCGAGTCATCCTTCATCACTCTCCTGGAAGTCAGAACAAACCAACTCACGTGGATTGTTGTTTTGGTGAGGTTCTTCGCTGGGAGATTGCGACGTTTTCTATTGTGACACTGCGGAATCTCGGCATCATGCTCATGGCACTGTGACTGTCGTTTCTTCGTCTTTTTTGGGGGGATAGGAATTCAAATACCCTCTGGTAAACGTTCACATAACTATGGAAAATCATCATTTTTTATGGGAAAATCCACTATAAATGGCCATTTTCAATAGTTTTTTGTATGTTTACCAGAGGGTAGATATAGGAATCATAGGAGTCATCACCAAGAATTTGGAGCTTGATCCAAGCCCAAATTGCCAAGTCACCCAGAGTCACCCATTGCCAAATTGCAGGACCCAACTTGTGAATGCCTGCTAGTGGGCTTCAGAGAATGCAGCGCTACAAACAGGCACCTGATTGGGGTTCTGATCTGTTTCAAGTAGATGAATTTTATTATTGTTTTATATTGTTTGGTTACTGATATTACATCATATTACTGTACCGGCCATGACTTTTCCATCTGATGAATCCACGTGGAGATGGGGCGAAACCAGATTTGGATGATGAGCCCCCACAAATTCCAGCTGTTCCTATCCCATCATCGCTGCCGCGTTTCCGGCTGCCAGGTCGCTTCCAATGCGTTTGCAGCTCTACACAGAGACCATGAGGTTTTTGGCAACTTTGCCACATGTTATGCCAGTCTGTGTACCGCTGCTGATGGGTTAGGCAACTTGGGAAGTTGTACCAAGTTGCCTGGTTGTTGACGGGAATTGTTTGACATCAGCCACAAGAATTACAGGGATAACACTATAGCAGCCAAAATTTGATGGGATGGGAAAACGGTAAGTTTTTGTGACAGGGCGCACTTCGGATACTTATGCAGGTAGTAGAAAGATGTAGCGTCCAGCAAGCATGCAACACGATATGGAAAACCGATATGGAAATCCCATGCAAAACTCAAGAAATATGATCTACAAATGGTTTTCCCCCATCTATGTCAATTAAGTGGAGGGTACAGTCTGGGGATCTTATGATATGAATACCGTCAATACTGGGATGAGAATGTTTCATAATTCTCCAGGAAGCCGGGTGGAGCAACGAACCCAGGATGGAGACTATCCAAGCCATACGTTCTTTTGGAGGCAGCTGCGCGTGAAGTATTACGACAACACTGATGCTCGCCATAGACATGGACATCATGGACACCGTGCAACCGTGCCACATCCTGGGCATGGCTGTTGTGAAAATTCGATGCAGGGGGTCATCTTTGACGGCACATTTCCAACTGAGGAGTGGAATGATAATTTGAAAGACCGCGGGAAGGCTGGCATGCGAAATTAGGATCCGAAGAGTTTTTCAACGGAAGTGTTGACCAATGTTGGGCTTGCTAAAAAACAGCATTCCGAAATTTTCGTGCTTCTTTTCCTGGTACCCTCTGGTAATTTAACATAGCTATGGAAAATCACCATTTTTAATGGGAAAACTCACTATAAATGGCCATTTTCAATAGCTATGTTTGTTTACCAGAGGGCATTTTGATGGAGAAAGCACTTTTCCAAAAACCATCGACCTGTCATCCAGTGATGCCGGAGGTCTTAGAGTCCAGTCTGTCCTGCAGAGACTCAGAGCTCCTTTGCAACTGTTCCAGCTCAAATTATTTTGACTTTGATGCTTGGCAGGAAAAACCCGGATGGTCATCGGATGGTGCCCCCAATTGGAAGGTTTATGGATGTTTATGGAGATGGCCATTGTCCCCCAAAGATGGGTAATAGGTTTCGCAGTTTCGACCATTTTCGAGCCATCCCCACTTGCTCAAGTCGGAGAGTTTGAGCTGCTGAACATGACCCATCACCAATCATCACCAATGGAGGGTCCAACCCCCAACTTCAGCCATACTCGGAAGATTCAACTTTGAGTTTTCATGGAAGTAAATCAATGCAATTTTAATGTAAATCACTTTGTAAATCCCTATGCCCTATGGTTCATGGCTACATCAATGTAAATGAATGTAAATCAATGTAAATCATTAATGTTCATGGTACATGTTCATGAATTTCATGGGATTTTCTATGATTTTGTTGTTCATGAACACCAAGGCAAATCTCGATTTTATTGGTCAGCTCTTTACCTGGAAAATCCCTGGAAAATCAAGCTGTGAAGCTGAGGCCTGGGATGGGACGAGATTGGTTCACATCGATGAGGACGGCATCAAGAGAAGTATTGGCCGCCGGGTGGCGGATGGGCCGCTGTTGGTGACTGTTTCTGGCCATGGGCTGGTTGAGATTGGTTTAGAAATGTCTCCATGAAATCACATGAAATCTACTTGTTGACATTTAAAAATATTTAAAAATGATATTTATGAATTTATGACATGACTATCCATCTTGGTTTATTCTTAGTAATACTCTACTAAGATGTTGTAAGTATCGTAAACCATAGTGAAATTGGAGTTCTTTGCAGCAACTTAGCTATCGTTTGGAGTCCTTTGTGGGAAGAGTCCATGAAAACTGGGACGAAGCTGGGAAATCAGAGAAAAAATGTGTGTTGTTTGTTGAATGGGGAAATGATTTTGAATATGGATGTGTTTCCTTGCGGAGTTTGATTGCCAGAGGGGTGATGATGACTGCATCAGGGAAGTGATAGGTGGTCGTGAAGATCTTCTCCAAAGGGTGGTCCTGTTTCCTCGTACCATACATACCATACCTACCATACCTACCATACGTACCATACATACTATACGTACCATACATACCATACATACTATACATTACATTTACATTTACATTTACATTTACATTTACATTTACATTTACATTTACATACACACATACATACATGCATGCATGCTTGCATTGCATTGCATTTCATGGCATTGCATTGCATTACATTACATACATACATACATGTATATTTATATATACATATCCAAGTATGCTAAAGTATTCCTATTGTATCCACTTATATCCGAAATAGCAATCATTGGCTGGCAGGCTGGTAGTATCCTTTGGTGAGAAACACTGGAGAATCCCCATTTACTTCGATGATTTTCTCATATATGGGGAATGTCATCATCCCAACTGACGAACTCATATTTTTCAGAGGGATGGCTCAACCACCGACGCCATAGATCCATCATCTGCAAACAGTAGGTAAATTACCCAATTTCCAATCATTTCCAATCATTTCCATATCGAAACACCATATTTATAGATATTTATGGGGAAATTCTCATGACCATCCCCGTTTTTTTTCGCACGATTTGCCCTCCAAGGTCCGTCACCCCTACGTGGAGCGGGTCAGGCCACGTTGACGCTTCGGCAGTTCAACCTGCGCCTGAAGGAGCTGTCACCGAGCTTTTGACCGTTTTTTGACGTCGCCATATTGGAAAAATATATGGAATGATGGTTAGATATGGTTAGTATAGGGATGATGATTATGATTATCCCAAGAGGAACATATTGGAATCATGGAATAATTATACCTGTAGGGATAGAATATGATATAATTATCCCAAGAAGAAGCCATATTTCAGGTTAGTGGCATATTGTAATTTACCCAGAACCATATAGAAAGGATTGTGGATTCTGGATTTCAAGCTGTTGATTGGGGTAGACATTCAATGAAGAAATCCACACTCACAACAGTGCGTTCAAAACATGTGTTTGGCACTTCAAAACACTCTGGTCTGTCTCACTTCCAATTCGGACTACATAATCCTGCTTAATCATGACTTAGCCAGACCAAAAAGAAACAACAGCACAATAAGAAAGTCATGTTTCCACAACTACTGTGGCCTCTGGACTAGTTGCCAAATCTTTTTTTGGGTGAGTTTTGGTCCGGCCCAGATCAATCTTGATTATATAATCCTGATCAAGCTAATTCATAAATTCCTACATCCCGGCTCTGGTTCTCAGTTCTTGACTTCTTGCCTCCTTCCGCTGGATCGATCCTGGCCTCCAAAAATGCCGCTGGATCGGCTTGCAAAAAATGTAAGCAAACAAGGTACAATGTTACTAAAAGTTCTGCATTTTCTTTACAAACCTTCAATATCTATGTTCTCCAGTGGTATTTTTCATGGGGATATGTGAGAAAATAAAGATGTAAAACCAAGAAACATGGAGATCTAAGGGGAATGCACAAGCAAGAATATGATCATTTGGGCGTACCCAAGAAAAATTGTCTTTTGGTCATGGTTTTAGGATGTTTTAGGGCAATGAATCGGGAAAACAAGATCAACCAATATCAACCATCAGTTTTTTTTGTGCTACCTGGGTGGGAGTTGCCCCCTCAAGACTCACATGGAAGCAGGTGCCCACAAAAATGCAGATCAAACCACCCGAAAGTGGCTGGGAAAATCAGTCGCACAAGTTACTAGAATTTTCTAGTCGCCATTTTTGGTATGATGGGAATCCATGTTGATCACTCAGTATATGGTGAATTAAATGGTGATGGCAGCAGAGGGGGTCACGGGGTAACCAGATCACCATGCTGTCAGGAGAGTAAGCTGACGGCTGAGTTTGCGCATACCTATCGAAGACCCACGAGCACCACCACAACCATCACCAGCACAACTGAGTCCACGACTGCGAGGACCACCAGCAGGACGTGGAGCACGACAAGTACATTCGCCACCAAGAGCAAAACCACCACAACGACCATGGCTGACACGAGCACAGACACCACATCAACTTTCGAAACAGAAGATGAAGAGACAACAGAGGAGCTCACAACAACTTCAGGACAGGGCTGGTGTGGAGCAAGGGCACTTTACCATTTAATTAGATATATATATATATAATATTTATATATATAAGTGGTTTCGAGCAATGCCAACCTGGCGTTGAGCATTGCCAGGTCATACGCATGTATTATTGCATGTCTAAGCTGGTACAATATATGTTTACACTGTGTATATGTACTTACGTTTTCGGGTCTAAACATGAGACCACCCATGTGGCTTTCGCAGCTCTGGCTTTTAGCAAATGCTTGGGCACCCACTCCCCTGTGGGTGTCCCTTGTGCCTCTGCCTTGCGCGGGTGAGCGATATCATCCGTGTGGGGGGGGCGTGGCCAGAGTTCATCGGCTTTGCCTGCAGCCGACTGCGGGGCGTCGAGGCCGATCTCAGGGACGAGTTAAGCCGCGTAGCGGCTGCGGTGCCGGGGGACAGGCCTCCTCCCCCCGGTGCCGCGACTGAGGGGAGTAGACCGAGTCACTCCCAGACTCCAAAGAAAGAAGCGACTGCCTCCGCTTCAGCACCTGGACCTCTTCAAGCTGCTCAACCTCCTCCACCTCCTGCTCCAGGAGGATTGACAAATAAGGCTCCTCCTCTTCAACCACCTGCTCATCTCCAAGAAAAGCCTGAGTCCAAAGTAGAGAAGAAAGTGAAAGAGGAGCCCGCCGACGAAGACAAGCCAAACCAGGAGCAAGGGGTGGTAGAGGTAGAATTACAGGAGACAAACGCGTCAGGAAGTGGAAGCAAGCCAGAAAACCCACCTAAGGAGGAGACGAAGCAGGAGAAGAAAAGAAAAGCATCAAGTTCCAGGAGGAGAGAAGAGAAGAAAGAAAAAAGGGAGAAGGAAGCGAAGCGAAGAAGGGAGTCTAGATCTCCCAGGCGGCGAGAAGAAGACAGGGAGAGAGGGCGAGAGAAAAAACGTCGAGACGAGCGTCCACCGGAACCAAGGTTCCCACCTCGAGGACGTGAGGAGCATTACCACTGGGGACCTCGTGAACCCGATCATCCGCCTCCTAGAGGTTCAGGTTGGCGCGGCCCATTGCCGTACTCCGATCACCCTCGGTGGTCAACAGGAAAAAACAAAGGAAACACCCGGAGAGCCAAACAAGAGCTCTTCAACAACCGGGAGAGGAGGCGGCGCTAAAGGGACGCAAGATGCCTCCCAAAGCGAAAGCCAAAGCAGGCCTCTTGAGGCGCCCCGCAGCCCGTTTGAGGCCGAGAAGACGCCCTGCGGCAAGAGAGGGTGAAGAGGCTGAGGAGGCTGAAGAAAATCAAAGAAAAGCCTTTGCGGACCTCAAACCTCATGACTTGGTCAAGCTGGGTCCCATACTGTTGAGGGAGGCAGTTTACTATGGAAGAAAAGTGCAGGTGGCCGGTGCCATAGCTGACGTGAGGCTTCAGGGAGGCCAACTGTATGCCGACCTCAAAGTATCAGGAACCCAGGATGAGGAACTCTTGCGCATCCTGTCTGGCAAGAAGTCCCGATTAGCAACGTTACACGTTTGTGAAAGGGACTGTGGACAGCTGATGACTGAAGAGGCCTTGATCCATAGCAAGACCTTTGAGGCCACAGACTTGCGGGCTTCCCCATGGATGACAAACTTGAAAGAGGCTGGAGAGCCGGGGGAGGAGACCGATGAGATGGTAAAACTAAGGGAAGCCCAACGAGGAGAAGAAAGAGGAGATCGAAAGATTGAGGAGTCGAAAAAGAAAGAGAAAAAGAGGCGAAGAGAGGATAAGAAGGGTGAAGAAGGGAGAGAGACAAAATCTCCCAAAGGAGAAGAAGAAGTAGCAGAAGTGGGACAGAAGGAGTTGAAAGCGGTGTATGAGAACACCGGGATGGATCCCGATGTCAAGCGGAGGACCAGGCTGATGAAAAAAGCCCAAAAGTTGAGCAGAGCGAGGAGGAAGAAGAAAAAGAAGAAGGAGGATAGATCTACAAGCAGTGCGTCAGGAAGTAGCGGGTCCACGTCTTCGACAGGAAGTAGCCCAGGTAGCAGCGGCCTGTTCAGTGAGGAGACCAGGCTGAAACAGCTGTGGAAGAGGTACCCAGGGGTACTTAGCGCTCAGGCGATTTCAGAGATGAAGTCAAGTCTGATGACGGGCGCTGGCACGATGTGGTCGCTGGATCGTTCCACTTTGCCACCGCTATGCACACACTACGGACGCACCCAGCTCATGCCCCACCTGAGCATCGTGGTGCAGCAAGAAACGTTGACGCTATGCACGGCCATGGACCAGTTGATCCAAGGGAAGGTGGCATCTGGATTGGATGTATTGGCCCAAAGACTCAAAGCCATAGAAGCTATGAGCCGTGGAGGACATTGGTCCATGGCCAGACAGATGGAATTGTGCCGAGTTGACGGCACAGGAATTTCAGAAGAAGGTGAGTCACTGGCAGCTGCCAGAAGAGCAAAGGAGGAAGAGCGCCTGAGGAATCTGATGGCGCGCCCGAGTGGAAGTAAGGGAGGTGATTTCTCCCAAGGGAAGACGCGAAAAGGAAAAGAAAAGGGTACAGGTAAGGGAGGAGCCAACGAAGGGAACAAAGGCAAAGGTGGACAAGGAGGACGAGAAGACAACAAAGGAGCATGGCAGAAGAAGAAAGATTGAGCGAGTATGAGGGAAAGTTGGCTGGACCTTACCGTACCCATGACAAGAAAAATAAAGAGAGTGGGCTGAAGAGAGGCAGAAGCTATGAAGGGTGGAAAAGTGTTTTGGGTGAAAAGGAGGCAAATCTCCCTGGCACAAGAGCGGACGAGAGGAGCGTTACAGAAGCGGAAGTAGAGAGGCTTATAGAGGAGGCAGAAAGAGAGGCAAAGAAAGCACAGGGGAGCACTTTGGAGCCGTCTCCGGAGTGCTCCCAACAGGCAAAGAATTCATCTTTTGAAGAGGGGAGCCCCCCAGCCGATGAGCTGGGCTCCCAAGAGTTTCACCAAGTGGCGCGGAAGCTCATTGAAGACTTCATGGCGGAGTTGAAAGAGGGTTGTACAGTAGGAAGTCTAGGTGGCCTGGTGTGGGATGCTCTCAAGAAGATTGATGCATCTTCATGTTGCAGACCAAGGTCCATCACAGGTTCAAAGGAGCTTTTTCCTCTGCCTGTGGGGGGACATCTCACGCCCGGCCTACCGCATGGCGCATTTCTCCAGGCCATGATTTGTGGCCTCAACAGCTTAGGTGGAGCTGGGTATAAACAGACCGTAGAGAGACCTTCTCCGGCAGCATCAAAGGTGCTCAAAAGGTTGGAACGGGTGGTAGCTGAGTCGGCAGTGTTGGAGGCAAAGTTCACCGGAATAACTTTTGAATCATTTTTTGGAACTAGAGGTTTGGATTATTCTGGTGAAGAAGTCAAATTGGCACAAAAAGTGAGATGGAGGAACATCGAACCATCCTTGCCACCACAGGTGGGTCAATTGGATATTCGTGATTTTTTGGAAGATGGGGTGCTTCACTTTGTGACGCATATTGATGAAACCTTGGTGCCAGAAGTGGATCAATGTTTGGGGCGTACTCCGAGTGTAATGGTTGACCCTGATCAATGGGAAGAGTTGGCCGTCAATTTGGTAAAACGTGGGCTTTGTAAGGTGGTGCCACAATCACAACTTTACCATGTTGGGTCGTCTCCCTTGCTAAATGGACTCTTCTCAGTAGGAAAGGATGAGGTAAAAGATGGGATCGCTGTTGGCCGTTTGATAATGAATTTGAAGCCTTGGAATGCCATCAGCCAGACGCTCTCGGGCGACATTGGAACCCTTCCCCTCATCACCAACATGGGAGCTTTGTACCTACATGACAATGAAGTGATCCTCACTTCTTCTGAGGACTTGAGATGCTTCTTCTACTTGTTCAAGGTGCCGCCAGAGTGGGAGAAGTTCATGGGTTTTGGCCGTGCAGTTCCTCGGTGTCTGGTACCCCCTAATGCTGAAGAGACCAACTGGTATCTTACAGGGCAAGTTTTACCAATGGGATATTTGAACAGCGTTGGGATTGCTCAGCACATACACCGGTGCGTCATAAAAAGGGCTATTGGGTCTTTGCGAGGGTTAGGCTGCACTGTCCAAGAGCTACGTCGGGATAGGACCTTTACTTGTTTTCCAAATCTGTTTAGAATTTATCTCGACAACTTCGACCAGTTGCAGAGAGTTGACAAGGGACTGGCCACCATGTTGGCGGGCACTCCCAGTGACCTGGTGACACAGGTAAGGGAGTATTATGACTCCCAGGGTCTCCCAAGACACCCCAAAAAGTCTGTAGAACAAGCGCTGCAGGCTGAAGTTCAGGGGGCGTGGTTGGATGGGAGACGTGGAACACTTTGTGCAAAGCCCAGCAAAGTTGTGAAGTACATTGAACTGGCCTTGGAGACCCTCCGGCGGGGAAAAGCCTCCCAGCGGGAGCTCCAGATCATAGGCGGCGGCTTTGTTTACGCAGCCATGTTCAGGAGGCCTCTTCTGGCCAGTTTGAACCAGATCTGGAGAAGCATTCAGGAAAGAGAAGAATTGTCAGCCTTCAGAAGGTGTTGGTTGAGCCGTGAATTGATGGTGGAGTTATTCCGCTTTATTGCATTGATCCCCCTAGCTTTCAACAATTTTAGAACCCCCTTTGACTCAGAGGTAACGGCTAGCGATGCTTCTACAAGTGGGGGCGGGATCTGCGTTTCAAGAGGGCTTACTCCATATGGGCATGCTGCTAGTTTGAGCCAGGTGCGTGGGGAAGCTCCAGAAGAGCTTGATCTTTCTGAGGTGTTATGTGTGGGCCTCTTCGACGGGATTGGGGCGCTGCGCGTGGCCCTAGACGCGCTGGGGGTGCCTGTATGTGGCCACATTTCTGTTGAACAAAATGTCCAAGCTCAAAGGGTGGTTGAGGCAAACTTCCCTGATTGCATTTTGGTCAATGACGTCAATGAGGTTGACATGATCAAAGTCAAGAGTTGGGCCCTCAAATTTACGGGAGCAGCCCTGGTCTTGGTCGGGGCTGGACCCCCTTGCCAGGGAGTCTCAGGACTGAACTGTG